CAGATTACGGACTCCCTCATTTTGCTACGGACTCCCTCTTTTTGAGGGCAGGGAGTCCAGTCCGTTGGATTCCCTTGTTCAAAAGTTAATTTCTAACCCTGTAAATATATATATTTAATATACATTTATTTATGTTCTATATATGCATCTCTCTCAGTGATCCATCATGAAAACTAATCCATTAACGTTGCTATAAAAGACGATATGAAGGGCTAACTGATAGTATAGTCAAGGCGAACTGCTGATGAGCTGAAGGAAATGTAGTACTTAGTTTGTCTCCCATCTGTGCATACACGTGTTGACACTATGCACACAGCATAAATGGCTTCATTATCATTACCCGTGTTTATATTCAGCACGTAGAGTGTCAGAATAGACTTAGCCAGTGCCAGAACAGGCTGCTGGACCGGCTAGCCTGGTGGTGGTTGTTGAGGGCATATATATTTAAAATTTGAATAAATTGTAATATACTAGACTAATTGCAATAACAAACTAGAGAGTGCCTTTCCAAATGTTGAAATTGCCTTAAGAATATTTTTAACATTAATGGTCACCAACTGCACAACAGAGAGGTCTTTCTCACAACTGAAAAGTGTAAAAAAAAACAAATAGATTGACTCGTAGTCAGAATGAAGTTGTACATGCATGTACGCTCAAAGTCAAAATGTCCTCATACACCATCTCCTGCGATCTACATTTTAAAAATTTTCTGGGGGAGGACCCCCATACCCCCCGCCTGTTTATCACCACCCTCCTTAAAATCCTACATATATTTTTGTACTGCTGCAACCTGCATTGTATATTTGGTCAGACAGGTCAACAACTAAAATGGACTGGGTCAGTGTGGAAAGGAGGGGGGCACCAAGATTGGTCAGTGCTTAGGGCACCAGTGAGCCTTAATCCACCCCTGGGGTTATATATATACATGGCTATATATAAGAGCAAAACATAGGGTCCAACGACTCATCGCGTTATATCTAAATTCGCGTGAAATCAGGGCACGTAAAATCGCGGTTCCACTGTATTATTATTGTTATTATTTATTATATTGTATTAGATTTGTCGTAGAGTATTATTCATGTGTCTTGCGTACCAGTGTTGATTTCGGCTGCACCATACATTCATGATGGTTATAGATTGTCATGGTTTGGATGCTGTTGTGACGAAACAAATGTGTGCAAATTATTTGAATCTTTTCGATTTTCATCGTATGACAAGTGTGAGAATTAATTGAGTGTGCGAGTGATCGTTGAAATTATATTCGGATCGATCCGCGAATAAGCACGGCGCATCATTACGCTTTAACGGTCGAAATGGTTACTGAGTTTATTCCTAACGTGTCTGTAACTCTCATGTCTTCCTCTCTCTAACGTGTTCGTTACTCTCTCATGTCTTCCTCTCTCTAACGTGTTCGTTGCTCTCTCAGGTCTTCCTCTCTCTAACGTGTTCGTTACTCTCTCAGGTCTTCCTCTCTCTAACGTGTTCGTTACTCTCTCATGTCTTCCTCTCTCTAACGTGTTCGTTGCTCTCTCATGTCTTCCTCTCTCTAACGTGTTCGTTACTCTCTC